AAATTTTGGCCTGGTTAGGCTGCTGTGATGGACACATAGTTTATAGATGTTAAGCAGCAGTTGTTTTTTCTTGAAGGTCATTATTAGATGTGTGCTAAGAGAAAAATATACTGACAAGTGGCTTGTAAGCAAGGCAGCTTCCATTTTGGTAGCTGAAGAACCTGTTGGTGATGTTAATTGGAAGGAACTCAGTCAGTGTCAGTGAGTGCTCCTAAAAATCCCCCAGTAACTTTTATTAAGTCCAGTATCTCATTTGTTAGTTGCTTCATTTAAACAAGAACTTACTAGGCATCATTGGCCGGTATCTGTCGGCTTAAAGACGACATCTGAAATCAATCAGTGGTTAATGAAGGATCTGTGCTCGCTGCTGTAGGGTGTTTGGAGGGTGGCTGACTCATCTGTCACCCACTGTCTGCAAAGGGGTGGCCACAGACCTCTGCAAGAACCTCTACAAAATACTGTTGAAAAGAACAAAATGCATGATAGATGTATCTTTACCAGAGCAATATTGTCTGAACAGATAAAAAGATAGCAAAAGAATGAAGTTAGAGTTCTGAATCCAATTCTTAATTAATTTAATTTCCTCTCACTCTTGAGCTTCTCCCTATTGATACTTTTCTATAGAGCTAGTCCTTTTCCTTCATTAAAAGAAAACCCCCAACACCTCTTGGAGTGGGAGCAGTGTTTCAGCTCCAGATGGAAGTGTTCTCTCCCATTCCTGTTACTTCAGGAAATATCCGGTACCAAAGTCTGAAGGAGCATAACTGTATTGCAAATTGGGGTGTTAAAGTGGGAAGTGAGCAATCAGAAGACTTCACAATTGTCTGCATTGCTTGCAGAAAAATTGTCAATTCGTGTAACTGGTGCCATTTTTTAGTAAGGGCAGCATGCTGTAGAAGAGCCTGGCTTGAGAAAGCTTTCTTTACTGCAGTTTTAATACCTTGATTGGGATGTAATTCATAGGAAACCTCATGGTCAGCCCCCTCACAAGTGGTAAAAACGAGAGTGGAGACATGTCCTGGAAGATAAAATTAGTAATGCTGTCTTCCTTCAGGATTGATTTCTCCACTTTATCATCTGGCATGGCAAACAGAAATAACAATTGGTGTAAATGTCCATCGGTGTGATGTGGCTGGAAATGGCATCGACTGTGATGGGATAACAACAGCATCCAAAGCATGGAGCAGTAGGAAGAGGGGCACTGGAAAAGATACTCTGTCAAATGTCCCATTCCTTACTGTTGTTTTTTTAGCTAGTGGTGGTGTTTTACCATTTTAATTTCCAGTGCTTTGGAGATCATTCTAAACAAGTCTCTTATTAAAAAAAAGAAAACTAAAAAAAAAAAAAAAACAACCCAAAACAAAGCAACCCAAGAAAAGTCTGTATGGGTATTGCATGAGCCATTAATTTCCATACAAATACTTGTGATGAGCCTGAAAAAACATTCAATTTCAAGTCATGTATTTCAGTTCCCAGTAATTGCTAGAATAGCAATGTTGGCAGAAGAGTGCCCTTTCAGTAGAGGTTTTACTTTTTTGTTGTTGTTTTTCTCCTCTTTGTTTTTAGCCACCAGCTAAATACCTCCTGCCAGAACTGACAGCATCAGACTATGGGAAGAAGTGCGTGGTCATTGATTTAGATGAAACTTTAGTGCACAGTTCATTTAAGGTAAGGAAATTCAAAAGCGATCTCTTGCAACTTGAATCTGTCGGTGAATGTTGTAGGAACTGTTAAACCTCTTAACACTAACTAGTCTTACAGGCTCTCCCAGGATGCATGCTAGTTCTCATTATTACTCTTATGATTATTCAACCTAATTAAGCTGTAAGGGGAGTAACACAGACATTGCTTTTTTTTTTTTTTTTGTTCTGAGAAATCACACCGACTGCAGCGAGCCCTTGAATGGTTATTGACTTCATGGCTTTACGTGGTAACTATCCCAACAAGGACTTGTATATTAACAGGCACAAAACTTGTTGCTCTGAACATACAGTTTCGTTTTTGATGTTAAAATGATGCCATAGTCTAGGAGGCTGGAAATTCATCACAGTTTTCTGCTCGGCAGATGTACCTTAAACCAGTAGATTTTGGGCACCAGTGGTTGCTGCGCTCTGGTGCTGGAGAAGGTGGCAGGGGGTTGGAACTCGATGATCTTTAAGGTCCTTTCCAACCCAAATGGTTCTGTGATTGCTTTCCATGTCAAGCTGCTGTCCCGGTCGCAGTAAGTATTTAGCTTTCACAACAGGAGAGCAAATAGCGTTTAGCTGTTGCTGATGAGTCAGATGTCTTGTAGAAACAACTTTTATAACCCTTCAGATTTCAGCATGTGGTGGAAGTAGTGGTATTTTTCTATTGTTTAAGTAGGGCTAAAGTTAGAATAGCAGAATTCAGAAATGCAAATAACCTAAATTGGCTCAGAGTACTGGTAGCATTTCTGATTAGCAAATGTCAGACAGGATAAGGCATCTGCTAGTTTTTATACTTCGATTGGAGAATTTATAAGAATCAATAGTATATTTCCTTACTAGTAGTGAGCTAGAGTTACCGCCAACTTTGTAGTCTTCTAGTTTTGGTTGCACTTCATTTTTCACTGCTAGCATAAACTCAACATTTTAATCCTGCACTATTTAGTTGCCAGCATTTAAATATGCAAACCATAATTCATGCTGTGGTTAGAATCTGGCAACAGCCTGTCTTTGGTGACTTAAAGAAGACCTTATATGGAGATACTAGAGCAAATATTCCTGTGTCTCAAACTGAAACGAAGATCCTTCTCTGTCTTTATTGTGCCTAATGGTATATAACGATTTGTGGTGCCATACAGTGCCAGATCCTTGTCTTCTATACCCAGACTGAACTTGCATTTGAGAATTTTTCAGGGAGATTAGAAACACAGCTGGATAGGGAAGGGAGGGACCATGCCTTCCTAATTAAACCAGCGTCAAAAATAGGAAGGGAAAGCTGAATTTAAAAGTCTAAATTTATATAAAAATAATTAAGTATTCATCTTGGTGTTATCTGAAATGTAAAAATAAAAGTTTGTTTTCTGAATGCTGTGAGTAATTTTATACTGTGATTTTTCTGGTTTTTGAAACAAAATGAGATTGAATTTAGGTTGTTGTTAATTTTTTTTTAATTATTTTTTAAAAATAGATTTAACAGTTCCTGCCCATGGCAGGGGGGTTGGAACTAGGTGATCTCTAAGGTCCCTTCCAACCCAAACCATTCTATGATTTTATGGTTGGTATAAACCCTTTCTTGTAGGATTGAGGTTTGCCTTTATTGCAGGGTGCTTTCTTAGTGGGCTTATTTTAATCATCCCATTTATTCAAATGATATTTAATGGGTATTTAAATATTGTTTAATAGGTGCTTAAGGAAAATCAAAAGATTATTCTGCTTAGTCTTGAACACTGCATGATGTTTTGTGTTAGAAAAAGAAAACTGCTCCTTTCTTCTGTGAAGTGAATGGTGTTAGGCGAACATTGGCATTTCTGCAGTATTGGAGTCTTACGGCTACGACGGCGTTATTTTAATGTGAAGCCCTGTGATGGGAGTTGTAAGAGAAAAGCGAGTATTGGAGGAAATGGCTCTAGCTGTTCAGTGGCTGGCACTGTCCAGTGGTGCTGTTGGGATTTTAATTCATAAAGGGAGAGACTTCAGTTGAAATGAGGCCGTTGTGGTCATCAAAAAAGATGGATTTCCACCGATGGTTTTCCAGGAGAGCAGGGGGTATTAACACCTGTGTGCACACCGCTCTGCCTGAATAATCAAGTTACTTTTTGCAGTTTCTTTTAGTTGTTTGGTTTTTTGGGTTTGTTTTTTTTCCACTGAAACAAGTCTGCTCTACCCAGGCAGGTCCCCACTTAAAAGCTGTAAAAGCGTACATAAATTTGTGATTTTTAGCACAAAAGCTTTTATTTAAAACATATGTTTTAGAATTCATAATTCTGTTATGAAATAGGCTTCATATTTCAAATGCAGATCTTTTTTCTTTTTTTTTTTAACACAACCAGAGAGGCAGAGTATTTAAAGTGCTTCTTTATGAAAGTGGCAACATCTGAAGGAGGGTAATTCTTGTCTTTTTATGCCCCTGCATATTTGTGAAGCTTTAAGGAGGTACTAGTCTTTCATGTTAAGTGCATATTAAAGGAATAAAGTTTGGGGTGCTTTGGCAAGAGTAAAAAAGGATTAGATAGACATTATAGTTATCGTTCCCATCATAAAACAATAATAGAAGCAAAAATCATAAATTATTAAATCAAGGAGATGTAAACACGGTTTTGTATAAAATGAATTAAACCACATGCAAGTCTGGAATGTAGTCATATTCAAAACTGGCTGTGAAACTCCTTCTTAGAACACGTAAAACTGAATCTTTTTATTAAATAGAAACAGTTCTAACTGGAGTCAAGATTTTCAATGGAAATACATTCACGCCCTCTCCACCGTTCCCACTCGAGGCATGTACATGCTTCACACGTGCATCCCAGAAACCTTTATCCAGCCAACTGTCAGACTTCTCTCCTGTCGTCCCATCGTGATGAAGCACAGAACCCCAGTCCATGCTCTCTTCTTTATCTCTTGTGCCAACAAGAAAGCTGTGTAGTGCCTGAAGTACAAGCAGGGGAAGCAAATACGTAGTTAAGAGTAGCTTGGTTAGTGTTACCAAGTCTAAGGGTGAGTTTTATTTGTTAGCAAAAATCAGGTTGACTAAACAGAGTGTGGCTTTCTCTGACATCTGTGTGGTGTTGCTTCTGCTCAGAACCTTCAGTAATAGCTGTATTTTTATCGGTGGGCTTCAAAACCTTTGCAGCTTGCAGTGACCTATTCTTTTTCTACTGCTACAGAATATTTATCTTGCTTAAGGGAGTCATGCATATATAAATTCTTCAAGTGCGTGCAAGTCTCTTCAAAGTATGCACGGAGCTGGCACCCACTTGAGAACTGTGGTGGCTGAGTCTTATTGACAGTTCATGTGGGTTTCTTTTAAGGTGAAACTTCAGAACATTTTTGTGTAGCTGTTCTGTGGCTATTAGAGATGCTGCAGGGTATGTTCCCTGGCCGAGGGGCTTCCTACAGGTAATGGATGGGAGCCTCTCCTCTGTCTTTTTCAGAAGCAGAAGGGGAGATATATCTTGGAGGTTGCTTGATGTCAGCTAAAAAAAAAAAAATTAAATTCTATCTGCGAGTATTTGAGCAATTCCTTAGATCATTATAGCACAGTGGGCATTAACAGGAATGAGTTTTCCAGCATCAGCTGCTCTGGAGGTCCAGTTGCCAGTACTGGTTGGTCAGGACGAGTAGATTCAGTGTGTAGCTTCTCATTTACCCTCTGAGGCAGCTGTCGGATCAAAACATCTTCCTTATTACTTCGCTACTGAGAGAAGGTATAAATTCTTACGGTCGTTTTGCTCTCCTCGCAGGAAGGTAATTTAACAGTGAAGTTAGAATCTCATTTTTACCAGGGAATGGGATCAAATTGGTGCTATCAGGTTACTACTGCAGGATTATTTTTTCCTACCATTTTTCACAGAACACCAGTTTAGGCTCACCAATCTGTGATCTGCTTGTCAGTCTCTTTACTTTGGCTGCTTCTCTGCTTTCTTGGCACCCTCTGCCACCTCACTTCCCCCCCCAAAGGAGTTGAAGACTGTTTGTAATCTTGCAGATTCTTCAGAGCACCTCCTTGGTGGTACTTGAGATCAATTCATTGTCTGATCCAGAAAACCAGGTGGGAAAGTCTGTGTAGGTCTAGTCTGTGAGGAAAAGTGTTTTCCAGCCCTTTAGTAATGAGATAACAAATACCAGCCAGACTGCTCCTAGCCTTCTTTTTAGGCTGTTATCCATGAAGCATATTGTCGTGTAAAACTATATTTGGCAGCTCTGTGACTCAGCCATTTCCAAGCTGCAGGTCATGGACTGAGTTACAAACTTCAGCCGGAGGCATGTTTACATGATTTTTTTTTTTAATTTTTTTTTAAATCATGGACGTAACACATGAGCCGTACCAAAGGATTTTGCCAATTTTGATGTCCATTTGAACATTCTTAGCTATGTGTCCCCCAACCATCACTAGTGTCTAGCTAAGATCAGACTGTGTACTCTCAACTGTCTACAGGGTTGCTTTTCTGCTTTCCAAAGCAATTTTCCTTGACCAACAGTTTTTCACTGTAAGTCTTAAGAAAGAAATTGTATTCAACAGACTAGAAAAAGGGATTCAAGGACTCAGAGTGTGCCTACTCTTCCCTTTTGGATTAAAATGCAGTTTTACATGGTTAATTTGATGGGTATAGCATGTTCTTGAGATATCTTGAGAATCATTGAATTATATTACTTAAATCTTCCCTTTTTGCAGCTCCTGATTCAAATATAACCTTTAGGTATTACTTTAACCACTGTCTTTATTTTTAATTAATTATTAATTGATCACCCGGAGTAGAATATGTGAAGCAAATAGCTGAATTTATGATCGTCCACAACTTGCTGAAAGAGTTATCCAAATAGGTATTTATCCTGGTAAACACACTCGGTGGTAGTGAGGGCTGTTCAAACAGAAAAGCGTATTACATTGTGTGAAGTTTAAAAATATGAGGGCAAAGGGAAGTGCTGTATCTGGTGAGTACAACTGTGCCAGGCTTCTGACCGCACACAGAGTGGATCTGCAGAGTCAATAATGCTTATGAAGTCGTTGCTGAGAATTAAGTACACTTCTCTTCTACATTTGGGAAATTTCCCCTCTAATGATGGTATTTTTAATGTTGATTTATTTCCCTGTCATTCTTTCTAGCCAATTAGCAATGCTGATTTCATCGTTCCTGTTGAAATTGATGGAACCATACATCAGGTAAGCGCTCTTGTTCCTTTAGCATGGTTTTAGTAGTGCTGTAGTAGTCCTCGGTGTCCCAGGGTTTTACCTTTCTCCATTTGCTCCTTTACATTCAATAACTCATCCTTTTGCAAAATACAAAAGCTGTGGACTCTGATGTGTATCATCCAGACAGGCATCCCTGTTTGGTCAGGTATGGAGCTTCTGAGTCTCAGTTTTAACTCTTTCCATTTTCCAGAATATCTCTCTCAGGACGTCAGTTCTTGACTCTGTCAATTTTAAAACATTTCCAAGCAGGACGTAATCTAAGGATGGGTTTTCAAACACTGCTAGGCCCATAAAAACACCACTTGAACACTGCATGTCTCATTCCCTCTTCACAGAAATGGGACATAAGTTGGCTTTAGTGTCTGTTGGTAGTTCATATAGACAAAGCTTTATAAAAGTATTCAGGAAGAACAGACATTTCTTCAGTTTTTGTGGCCATCTGTGTTTAAATTCTGTCTTCTTCTCTTTCTGTAAGGAATGTAAGTTCCTCTGGTAGGACTTTTTATACACTTCAGCATCTTTAAAAGGTCCAGACAAACTTGCAAGGAGACTAATTTTTATGTTATATTCTTCAAGAACTTCACTTTAAGACTGAGGAATGGTTTTCAGTACATGCAAAACACCCGTAATTTGAAAATCAGTCCCCTTCATGTATCTTAGCGTTAATCAGCAGTCATTTCTGAAAACGTTCAATGAAATTATCGTGCTGTAAATTTTCCTCTTCAGACAGACAGTAGAATACTTACTGGAGATGGGTTTTACTGGTTAATGTGACGTGGAGTCTTTCTGATACATGAATCTTGCAAATTGTTTGAAACATCTTTTGTTGGTTGTTGTAAGTTAAAGGTAATGCAGTTACTGCATTGCAGATCTTCCCTGGATGTAATTTAATGGAGATTTAAAACACTTGAGTGTTTGAAATACTGTCTTTTTTTATTATTTTTTTTATTATCTTTATTATTTTTACTCAGACAAATAGGTTTGTATTTTGATCTTGGAACAGTTGATAGATTACATAAAGTTATTAGTTCATAGTTTTGTTTGATTTTCTGTTATGAAAACCATCCGTGTAGTTTGTCACTCTTAAAAATAATTACTGAATATGGCAGTGGACTGAAATGTGTTTCAAAGTGATCGTTGTTTGGCAGTTTCTATCCTGTGCCTGTTTTATGTAGAAAAATTCAGTATCTAGGGTAATTAAACTCGTCATGTTCGCCAGAGCTGAATGCTTAAAGCACGTAAGTGATATTTTGGGAGATTTATGTTGTGATATTGTCTGTCCTCTTTTGATGTGGGCTTTAATTGTGTTTGGTGCTGTAACGCAAACATTTTCTCTGATAAGATTTTCTAGAATGCTTTTGAAAGGGAAAAAAATAGGTTGCCTAACAGTTTTGAATGGTTTAGAATTGTGATCACTTAGCTGGTCAACACTGTGTATTTACATTTTGAAACAAAACCCAGTTAAAGACTCCTTGGGCTGCACAGTCAAGCACTTCAAAAGCCTGATGCTTTTCTGTTCCTGCTGCAAACTTCCAGATTCTTCACCAAACGTAATGCAGTTAGGCACTCAACATGAATGTATATGGGGGGGAACAAACAAACAAAAAAAAACCCCACAAAAAACCCAAAACAAACAAAAACCCCACAATTGGTCAAAGGGAGTGGATTTGTCCGTACCCTAAAAGTGAACGGGAGGAGGGATGCTCTTGACAGAGAAGGTCAAGTGAAGTTAATCTCTGACTGTGCTTTGCTGGAGACTTCCTGTGTAATTTTTGAGGAAATTGCTTAACCCCTTTGAATTTGAAGTGCTTAATCTCTGAAACAGGTAAATATCTTGGTTGTATCTGGGTGGTAGAAATTAAGTTAATTGTAAGGAGTTTGTGACCCTTGAAATAAAGGTGATTTATATGGTATGCAGAATAGACAAACCCTTGGATTCCTGCGTTTGTAATACCTCTGCAGGCAAAGTAATGTGCTGTCATTCAGCAATTTTATTTTTTTTTTTAACTGTGATAATCTAAAGGGCAAAAGTGAATGTTCTGGCTTAGTCTGATGTGCATTAACACAGGCTGTAGAGCTTTGACAACCAGTTCCCACTTCAAACCTGTAATTTTTTATTCACTTAGAGCATAAACTGAACCGATGTCACCATTTTTTATCATCGGTCAGGATGTGTCATCTGTATAATGCTTGTTCATTTTCTTCAGCAGTTTTTATACTCAAAGATTAATCATTGGCATTGGGAAATACTTCCACCTGTTTAAAATATTATGGGATATGTGAAATGTTGTGGAACATGATGTAGTGGGAGGTGTCCCTGCCCATGGCAGGGGGTTGGAACTAGGTGATCTTTAAGGTCCCTTCCAACCCAAACCAGTCTGTGATTCTGCAAACTATGCTAGATGCAGTACATATCCCTGCCTGCTTTACCGGTAAGCCTGGTATCTTACCGAGCAGGAGACTGTCTGATAGTGTATTGTTGTACTTGAACTCTATCTTAAAACCCCATGGAAAACAAACAGAGGACACCATTTCAGAAGTGCTCATTTAGAATTTGAAGTTACACAAGATTCTTCAGATCTCAGATACCAAAAATACAAGCTGTGGCAAATGCAGTTGCTGGACACTTGAAAAGTTTTGAGACTGACTTATCTAGCAAGTTTTGTTCCTGGTAAATGTTAGAATTGTTTTGTTGTGCAACAGAAGTATTCAAAAGAACGCTGTCTTTAGTTTGGGGAGTTTCTTTTCCCTTATGTCATTTATAATCCAAAGGTCAGAGAGACTCTTAAGGCTCTTATAGGGAGGACATTTCATCATCTTAAAGGGTGCTTGGGTAAACCAGCTTCCTTAGATTAAAACAGCTTTTCTGAACACCCCTTGTCCCTGTCCCATCTTTCTTTCTCTAGCTTAATTTATCCTTTTTTTTTTTTTTCAGAAAGGATTTATAATTTTATTTTGCAAGGAAATAACTCGTGTGGAGGTACCTCTCTTTCCTTTTGTTATTGGTCTTTATATGCCTGCAGAGACTGTGCCCGACCATGGGTCTACAGGGCAGCTGAAGTTACAGGAGATGAATCCCACGCTTTGTGTTGGAAACGATGGCACAGATACAAAAGGGCAGTTCTGATGCAAGCTGACACTCTTCTGGCCAGTTCTCTCATTTCTCTCTGGTTCTCTTGAATAAAAGGAACTCAGAGCTGGTCCCCTACTCTACCAAATCACAAGTGAGAAACTGTGGGAAGTCCAGTGAAACGTGTTGCAACTGAAAGTGCTTTTTAGAGGAGGTTTATTTTGAGGATGAAAGTCGTGGCTGGAGAAAAGATGTTCAGCCTGTTTGTTACCCCTGACATAACTTGTGTAAGAACACGTCCTCTCTTTTGGAGCGTGCTTCCCGTTTAACAAGTGCAAAGCAGTCACAACGCCCAGATTAGAGACAGTGTGTTAAATATAGCTTCAATCCCCAAGGAGAGATTTTTTAGGGTATGGTGGTCCTTTGCCTTTTATCAAAATTGGCTTGCCATGCCTTTGTGCCTTGCCGTCGGTGTCAAAGAGTAAAGAGGGCAGCTAGGAACCGTTGGATTTGGTGTTACTTGGAATTTCATTGTTGAATGTAATTTGTTTATTAAGCAAGTAAAACTAGTTCTTAAGTTTTTTGTTTTATTTTCTAAATTCAATTAACAACTGCTTATTTTTGGTTGCTGAAAGCTAAAGAAATGCTTGGCGTTGGATACTTTGAATGTAATGTACAGAATGGTTTTGATTGGTGGGGGAAAGCGCTGTTCACATAATCAACTTCCTTTCCATAAAGGACAAAATCCGTTGATTTCCTTACGGAGGGCTGTGGCCTGGTTCAAGTAATCCAGGATAGGCTGTATCCATTCTAGCTGGCCTATTCTTGGTTACTTGCACTGGGAGGCAACCACAACTCTGTGAACCTGAAGGACGAGCCTGAAGGACGCATCTTCTTTTCTGCTCGCTGTTAAGAAGCACCCAGCCCACAGAACAGGAGATTACTGGAGCTTCAGTTGTCATGGGCAGATATCTTTGTCATTGCTTGAAGATTTTGTTATTGTAAAGCTGGTTTTGAAAGGCAATTCTGTGTGTCCTATTTAATTGATAAAAATTGAGCTGGGTTTCTCTTTTTGGTTTATAATTCCTGAGTCTTTTTCGGTTAAGACTGCTTTGAGGTATAGAAAATATATGTGGAACTACCGAATGCTTGCAAACAATTAAAGATAATTACCTGTGTTCTGCTATAAGCAGCTGTAAGTACAGAATCCTGTGAAAACATGCCTAGTGCCTGATTTGTGCTTGAAAACTTTAAGAGTACGGTTCATTTTTTAAAAATAAAAAGGACTTTATTCTTCTAAATTCTTACTATGATACAGAAGAAATTAGTGAGCATACAGTACAGGAAAAACTGGAAGGCTTTTTTTTTTAATGCTCTGAAGACAGTATATAAATCTCTGAAAAATGCCAGGAGCCAGTTAGTCTAGAGACTTAAACTGAAGACATCAGGCAACGGAGGAAAAAGCCAAGCCACAAATAACCATGCAGCATTGAGATGCAAGTCCAGCCGCTAACAAAGTAAAGGGGGGAAAAAAATTCCAAATGAGGAGGAAGAGGAGAAAAGAGCTGCACTGTCAGCTGAAGAAAGCTTTTTATGTGAAGTAAACCAAAGAGATTTTGTAGCCCAGGATACCAGTACACTTGCAGTCACTTCCAGGAACTAAGTAGGACTTCTGAAAAAAACTTCAAGTGGAATAACCATCCAGAGTAGTAAGATATGTTGTTCTGAAAAGAAAAAAAAAAAAAAAAAAGTGTTGTTTAAAAATAAAAAAATGGGTGAAGGAGTAGGGGCTTTTTAAGAGAGCTAAAAAATTAAGGAAAAAATGTGTTGAAAGCTCATCCTAAAATATGATATTCATTATTTATAAGGCATTTAACATGAGAAGCAAATCTGTTGGCTAGAGCCCAATAAGTAAAGTTTAAGGCAAAGTAGCAAGAGAAACACAAACACGGGAGGTTGAGGGTGCTCCATGGTGGATCCAGGAGATCTAAACTGCAGAAGGGAGACAAGACAACTTAAAATGCTGTGTATTTACAGCTGATACTGACTGGTTGCAATATTAGGAGATCTATGAATTGCCAAAAGAGCGCATATTGCAAATACTTGCCTTTATAAGCCCACTCCTGTCCGCAAGCCTGTGGTTAAGGAGCTGTCGGTTTATGGAGGAGGTGGGTTATGCAGCAGAGTTCATATCCTTGGCTTGGAGATTGAGATTACATTCCAAGTGGAAATACTTCACCGACACAGGCATAGATAGGGATGGAGAGCAAAGAGGAGACTTCTGCTGTGGGTGGAAAAAAAAAAAGGTTCTAAAAGGGAAACTAATACTAGGTTCCAGCGTGTTGTGGTTTGACCCAGCTAGCAGTACAAACACCACACAGCTGCTCACTCACCCTAATTATCAAAGAATGACTTTGACTTTGGGGTGTTCCCTTTGTGCCCTCAAAAGTAAGTATAAGACTGTAATGTAAGGCTAAAGAATTAAGAACTCTTATTAACTGTAGATGTAATCCTGCTGTCTTTCCTCTTATAACTGGCAAGTTGGATAGTCTCTTTCTGGGTACCCAAATATAGAGGGACTGCAACTGTCTTTCTACCTGTCTCTTTAAAAATGTGAAGATATAATTTGGAAAGGAACTACTGCAGAACAACTTTGTGTAGTAAGATATCAGTGAAAAATTAATTGCATTGTTATAGGAGAGGAAATTACTGTGTTTAAGCCTAGTGAAATACAGGAAATTTTGCTGTAATTATATGGAAAGAGAGTGGTGTTGAAGTACATCTGTTAATTGTCTTTTATTCATAAAATGTCACATTTATTTAATTGATTAATTGAGTGCTGCTGTGTTTGTTTACAAAAATAAAAAATTAATCTGGGTTATAAATTGATATCTGTATCAAAGATTTAATGTATTGCTTGAATTCGAGAGGCCAGAAATAATAGTTGAACTTCATAGAATTAACTTAAAGCAGATCAGGTCTTTGTGCTATGATTATACATTTGCATAAAGCAAAGTGGAAAAGTAATTAACATTTCTGATTTAGTCATTGAGGTACAGCTCCGTCATACATGTTTTTAATAAAACTTTTGTTTTCACATTTAGGTTTTCAGTTTCAAGTCCCTATTATGCAACTTTTTTTCTTCTTTTGCTAAAGGCTTTAATTGTTACACTTCAGTTCAAGCTGGCATTTCCATATTTTTCTCCTTCAGGCTTTTCTCTGAGTCCCTTATGTTTTTTAGCTTTTTATTAATATGAATCCAGTAAAATACATGCAATTAATCTAGTTCTGCATTTCAAAGAAAGAAATTCCTGAAATGGCATCAGTCCTGCAATCCCTCCTGAATTCAGTTACATGCCAGACTTCTCCATTTGAAATTTTCAGTATTGGGAATTATTTGCCAAACGAAGATGATAAAATACTGCCAATGTTTTCTCTCAAACTTTTAATCTAAGTGCAAACAAGATAGATAAATATTTTTCAAGCAGACTCCCCTCTTCTAGCTTCCCACTATATTGTGAGCTAGTTGTAAAAATTTCTGAGCAGCAGTTATCTTATCGTGGTATTTTCTGTGAATGCAAATCATCTTGCTTGCTCTGAAAAGAGACGGAAGGAGGCTCTAATATTTATTAGTCATGTTGTTGACAGTGGGCAGCCAAGCTTATGGTTGTCAGTGCAAAAAGCAATATAACATCGCTGAAACCAAGCTGCTCAAGAGGGGAGAGATCCAGAGTATTTCCCCTCTGTATGGCAAGGTGACGGTAGAAGACTTTGTAGACTTTGCCACCAAATTTTTGCAAGCAGCATTTGCTAGACATTGTGCGTGGTGCTGTGAAGATATTTGGTGAAAGCTCTCTGCAGAGCTGGGTGACTGATAACTATCCATAGTGCAATATGGTAGCTAGTGTCCAGAATTTAAAAAATGAAAGAATTAACCACAGGAAGAAAACAGTTCCCTATTGTGCAATGCCTGTCATCGTAGAGGCTTCATCAGATTTATTCCTTCTGTAAAGCTCTTCAGGACTGAAGACACCAGCACCGAAATAATTTCGGTTGAGAGGTCTGAATCCTTACTTCTTGAGCAGCCCTACTGTCTCTCTTTGCCTTTAATGAGATTTTTCAAGAAGCATCACTCCAGATGATGCACAGTATTTGCAGTTGCATAACCAGCATGGGTCTTGGCAGCCCACACATTCCAGTTTCTCAGTATTGAATGTCTACTTTTATCTTGTATACTTTTTTTTTTTCCTTTCAGCATTTCATTTGAACTGCTTCCATGTTAACTTTTGTTTCTTCAAGTGTTAGGATTACAAGAGTGGTTTGGGTTTTGTTTTTTTTTTTTTTCTCTTTTACCTGAAACACCATTTGACCAACGTGGTCATTGTCATTCCAGGTTTATGTATTGAAACGACCACATGTGGATGAGTTTCTTCAGAGGATGGGAGAGCTCTTTGAATGTGTACTCTTCACAGCCAGTCTAGCCAAGGTTTGTTCCTCTCTTCATCTCATTACCTCTTACGGTGCTGGTCCGTGGACTTTTGGTTGGGTTTTCTATGGATAATTATTTCCACCGTTGGTACTATCTTAATTTTTCCCCTTCTTTTCTGCTTCTTTGTCTGACAGTGTGTACTTTGTCTGCTAGTGTGTGGGTAAGTGTTTCCATGGTAACACCATCACATATGGGCTTGTCTCATAATGTAGCCTCCATGCATTGCTCATAATGCCAATATGAAAGGCTTACCAGTTACCATGGTTATCGTGAGAAATTAGAACAAATAGTGTGCGAGTAAAGCAGTATATTAAAGCTGGGCATGAAATAAAATACACTGTATTTAACACTGTCTACATGATCAACCAGTGATTCGGAAATCTACTGTATATGAAAATTGGGAACACGTTGTTATGTTCTGTCAAGGTGCAATTGCAATCTGGAGTTAGAAAATCTGATGCTGTGTAAAGCTTGAAGCATCAACAGGAATATTTTGTGCCCTGTGGTCTCCAGTAGCAGTAGTACCTCGTAGGTAGTTTTGTGGTAGACGTTACAGTAGTAGACAGGTTAAATTCTTCACTTCTTTCAATGTGTTGTATTTGTGGTGTCTTGTTTGTAAAGTTATATTGATTATTTCTAAATAATAGTCTAGCATAGTAAGCTTTTACTCCAGCCTGGTGGAGAGATGGTGGAAGGAGATGGGACCCTGTCGGATCTTATCAGAGGATTCTTCCCTGCACTCTGTTCACCATGTTCTGTGCAGTCACGTTGTGAAAATCCTAAATAATGGAACAATGTCATACTGCAGTTAGGTGTCTTAACAGTTTTCATAGCCAAGAGATGATTGACTTCAACATCAATTTTGTTTCTCAGCTTAAAATATAGGAAAATGGTAATTCCTGCAAAAATAGGTTATAACTACCATTTTCAAGTACATGGTTATTTCATGTTCTGGTTTATTTGGATACTTTTCCTTGGACACTTCATATCAATTGTTGGATTCTAAGCTGTGCCTCACTTGGAGTATCATCTTATATATAAAATGAGAATTTCCCAGTATTGTACATGGATATTTTTTCCTAATAACATCTTTGTCTGGTCTTTTATGGCCCAATCGTGTGATTTGGTAATCTTAAAGATTCTTACTGACCCAGTGGCTCAATGGGCATGGTTTGAAAAACCTACATGAAGCTCAGATGCCTTCATTGCAGTTTATCTTCAGAGACACATGGAAAGGAATCAGCTGTGGAAGTGGCTTCATATAGATTTTCTGTTAGCGCTGGTTGGTTTTACGGTAACGTTAGGTGAGATCTCTGAATCCATCAACTTCTAGATAACTTCTAAGGTGACTCTAAGTTGATGCTAAGAATAAAACGTAATCAATAAATCACAGAAAATATTAGTTAGCCTTCCCTAAAAGATAACCGACCTACTTTTGTGTTATCTTTCTATAATCACTTCAGGTTTGCAGGCATGTAAGTTAATTAACAAGGAGCAGGGAAGAAAATGAAGAAAGGGCATTTTATCTGAAATTATTTTGTGCCCCTTCTTTGTATAGTTCTGTGAATAAGCCTTATCCGCACGCTGCTAACGTCATGTTTCTAACTTCTCTTTTTAAGTATGCAGACCCAGTAGCCGACTTACTGGATCGCTGGGGTGTGTTCAGGGCAAGGCTCTTCAGAGAATCCTGTGTTTTCCACCGAGGGAATTACGTGAAGGATCTGAGTCGACTGGGGCGTGAGCTGAGTAAAGTTATTATAGTAGATAATTCTCCTGCATCTTACATCTTCCATCCTGAAAATGCAGTAAGTATTCTTAGCATTCGAAATATCCTTGCCCAGACATCCTGATTCAGAAAATAGCCTTTCAGAATGCTAAATGTATTCATTTCTGTATTTTCTTGGGCTGAACGTAGGTTCTAGTATTCACTGCTGAATGGTGAAGGACTAGGGCAAACTGATCTTGACAGTGTGTCATAGTCATGACTGCTCATCTGTTTTCGGTTTTAGCTTTTGGCATGAAGTCCATCAGTTTTGAGAAATACCAAGCGGTACAGAACCTGAATAACTAAGCTGGCTCGAGAAAGTGAAGCTGCCCTCCAGCGTAGTTTTTGTTATTTGGAATGGTGATTACAGAAAGGATGATTTACTTGATCTGCTTGGGCTTTTTCATTGTGTGAATGAAGCCATTTTATTGGAAAAAATAATTGATTATTTACTAGGTACAATCTTGAGTTCTGTATTTGTGGCTAAGGGAAAGAAAAAAGGGTTTTTTTGGTGAACTGTTATAATTAACAAAGGAAATTTTTATCGGAGGCACCTTTTTGCATGGTTCTGCCTCTCTGGAATAGCTTTCTTTTTTTTACGTGAGCTATTTATCTTGCAGTAATGAGCTTTTAAATTGAGATCCTAATATTGTGATGCCCTAAATGATTGGGTAAAAACATTTTTTCGTTGGTGCCACACATGGTTTAAAGTTACTATTTATAATAACCAGGAGCTGTAGCTCTAATTTATGTTCATGGTTAAAATTAAAACCCTGATCCAGATTGCCATTTGGTATCTTGGAATTCAGTGCCAAGAAAATAATGAGCTGCAGAAATTTGGGAGATGAAATGAAGGGCCTTGTCAGAGTGTTTTAGTCGCGTATAGAGAAGTGCTGCTAGCTAACCAATATTCGAGTCTCTGCAGAAACCAGAGCTTGTAACAAGATCCAAGATAGTCTTTAAAAGACCTCAGTCTGCTTCCGTAGTGAAGATACACAGAACTCCTTCTCCAGATCCATCCCACGTATTTAAGAAGTGTTATACGCTTTATTTTCTGAACCTGCTCTCAAGGTCTTATATTTTAATCAGAGAATTGTTCCATCCTCGCTGTTTAAATATTTCCTCCGCAACCTCGTGCCAGGAGGGGTTGTTGCTGCATGCCGATGATTAGTGACTCACACTGATGATACTTAGAGCAGAAAAAAAGACTTGCCCGTAAATAAAGTGCCAGTACAGCTTCATAACCTGGATCTTCCTTCCGATCTGTCCTGAATATCAAGGAGGCAGAGCAAATCGAGCTGCCGGGTGTTGCATCGTGTTGGTTACCTGGACACGTAGGAGAAGACAGCTGCGTGTCAGCTCTTTTATAGTTGGATTTGGGGTTCGTGTTGCATACGAGAAAACGTGGACTTGAACCTGCGCTCTGCTTGAATGCTAATGACTGGCAGTTTGCCCTACTGCGATGGCAATTAATGGACATAAACATAGGCAAAAACTCACGTTCTTCACATCATAAAGTCATCTTAATATTTATTGCTTTGTTTCAGGTGCCTGTGCAGTCCTGGTTTGATGACATGACAGACACAGAGCTGCTAGATCTTATTCCTTTCTTTGAAGGACTAAGCAAAGAGGAAGAAGTTTACAGTATGCTTCATAAACTCTGCAACAGGTAGCCTTTAACTTGGACTGACTTCTGCTACTAGGTTGCAGTTGCTAGAGGCTGTCTCCCATCTTTTTCAGCTCTTTCAAGTGTAAGCTTTGGGGAGGTCACCCCTGTCAGAAGTGCTACTCTTGATCTTCCTGTTACATTGGACACGAAGGACAATCATGAGTGATGATGCTATTAAGCCTTCAGAAGCCTGACTCCTAAGGTCATGTGTTCAGACTACTTTTTTAAAGGAAAAAAAAAAAAAAAAAGAAGCTATTTTAAATGGGACTCTTTTAATGAATTTCATAAATGGACATCTTTTACTGGATCAGCTTTTCTTAAAACATGCCAAAAAAGAAGCTTGTATTTCAGCAGTTGAATTTCTCTCCCTTTCTTCCCCTCCCACTATGCAGACAATTTTACCCCCCTGCTTAGAGCAGTTGACCTGACTCTGAATTTTTTCTTACAGAATGAAGTGCCTTTTTGAATGTTATTTTAAGATAAAAAATTCATTTTTGTATAAGACGTATTTCCAGACATCTTTTAGTCTTGTATTGTCTAAATGCTTTAAAAGGAAAAAGGAAAAATTTTATAGAGCACTGTAATATATAACAAAGGAAAAAGTTGAAACAAAGATGCTGGGTTCCTGTCTCCACAATGACATTAAGTTGTATTACATTTTGTCATGCTCAGAAGGTTTAAGCATTTGTGGGAGGGGTGATTTGGGTTAATTACGTGGTTGTTTCACTGATACGATTTTTGGGCACAGTTTTGAACATATCTGCAGTTGTTTGAGTATTCGGGAATGATGGAATTGAGAAAGGTGGCTAACAGATGTAAAGCACCTTTTATTCTAGACAGACTGAGTTCTGTTGTCTCTGCTTACGCACAACTGCCATGCCTCTTGTTTTTTTGGAAAACCTTTATCTTGGGAGAACGGGAAAGAGATCTATTTATTAGTTTTTCTTTTCTTACAAAAAAAAAAAAAACACCAAACCCATCTGGGTAAGCTGGATCTGTATTGAGCTGTTTGGAGTACTTTTTTCTTTTAATTGCTGCTACTGTATACTCACCAAATGGAGTTGACCATCGGCTGTTATACTGTTTTTGCCACTGTGCCTGTGCTATGAAACATTTTCTGTAAGCTGCAAACTTGGGCAATAAATAAGATGCAGGCTTCATAACCCACCCCTATGTATTAATCCCATGGTATCTGACATACCAGAGGTTAAAGGTGACCTGTAAATGAATTTTTTTATATAATTTTTTTTTTTCCAGTTGGGATGAAGCCCTCTCCTTTCTTTGGTATATAAAAATGCAGAAACTATTTTTCCCACATCTCTGACTTGTGTTTCTTCTCCCTCAAGGTGTAAGGTGCAGACTGGGAGCTTTGGAGTCCTGCTAGAAGGGCAGAAGTTACTAGCCTAGACTAAAAGTGGTCCTCTGGCTTTGGAGTTGAGTAAGTCTCATCTCTGAATCTGAGAACCAGCTTAGCATCGTCTGTAGTGTCATAGGTGCCCTTTCAAAGGAATAACTTTTAAATATTTTAAACCTTTGAAGAACAAGGCACGCCTATTATTTTTTTTTCCTTTCCAGCGTCACCTTTTAATTATTTTTCCGCACCAGAAATCTACAAACATAAAAATTACAGCTATGTTTGGCTGTCATCAGAGCAAACTAAATGGAGTCATTGGTGCTTCTCATTAGCCGAGTGCTAAATTCTGAATAGCAGATCCCCTTTGCCTTTTCTGTTTTTCTCCAAAAGTCTTGACGACTTGGAAAAAAAAAGAATTTTGCGATAGACTTGGATCGTCATCTTTCTCTAAAACATTGGTGAAGCAGCTTAACAAATTTCTTCATAGAAGGGCAGGCCAGCCTACACAGGCAGTGAGTAGATTGTCGTAGGTGCAGTATAAAACTGAAAGATGACTTGCCTCCTCGCAGCGCAGCTGGGCACTAGGTGCTCGCTGTGTCTGGTAGCGAGGGATGTTAGAGGCAGTCCCATGACACTCGTGAGTCTGTACGGCGTCACCATTTTGTTTTCTTACCAGTTGGCATTACCTTAGTACTGTAAAATTCTGTGCCACAACAAAAGAGATAAATGTCCAATTAAAAAAAAAAAAAAAAAAAAACAACCTATGTTGTTTAAAAAAAAACAAATGGAAAAAAAAAAAGGACGTATGGATTCTGGTTAGTCCATTAACGTTTACTCTCGGTTTAAGATTGTTTAATTTTGTATTTGACTTCAGAGTAATGAAACTGTAAGCTGCCAAAAAATTGTTCTCTGAGCAGTATTTTCAACTGTGTTTGGTGCTTCTAAGCTTCAAATGCAGTTTGCAGGGAAGTATTCAGGTTGTAGTTAGTTGTGCAGGTATGATAGGAATGGCTGAAAAAATTCAAAGACTTTCTCGCTAGCGTTAGACCAAACAATCTTCCAATTAGACAATAATTAACCCGACCGAGACATTACCATTTAACGGTTGTGACCTGTTGTACATGAGACGAACCATGTCATTAGTTTGCATTTCTGAAAGCAGCAATTTCATGAACCAGTTGCCTTAAGTCTGTGAATGAATGTTGATTATTAAAGTGTCTTGTATTGTTTTCAAATCCACATATAATGGACAACTGAACTTCTGCACCAGCTTTGGGGGGAACGGTTCTCATGATTGTTCTGTATTGTTTAGTTTGGCTCTTGAAATCCACATTTTAAAAAAAAAAAAAAAAAACCTTTCTTTTAACTTGCTACAGCATTAAAATGACAGTTGGTGACAATACAAAGGCAAAAACCTTAGCAACAGATCTGATATCTGCTAGTATCTTATTTTCTATAACTTCTGATTTTTTTTTTTTTTTTAAACTCATTCCCATTGAAATAAGACTTGGACTGCTCTGCAGTCAGGTTTGACTTCCCTGGGGATTCCCATTTGGCCAAAGGGGTCAAACTGTCGTAGTTGTTCATTTTGACACTATCATCTTACTTGAAATTTCAAGTTTTAAGTTTGTGTGAATATACATACGCTATATATTCAGAGTTTCTAGATTTTAACAAAGCAATATAGTTCTGTCCATAAAGCCAGATAAAGGAGTGGAATGTTTGTAAAATTCAGAATACGGGTATTTGATTGTATTTTAAATACAATATTTTAAAAAAATAAAATAGGAAAGAAATACTTATTTCTTAAACCTCTTCCATATTTTGAAGTGCGTGCAGGTCACTGGGGCTGTTACAAACCCTGGTTTTCAATTCTGTTTCTGGATATTACAGAAGTATTAAAAAGTCTTTTCCAGTTGGTCATTCTGTTCAGCTAAAGAAATGCTGCCTGGCCTGAAGTTCCGTTGTCCTTTTTATGTCGGGTTAAAAAAGGTTTTTTGCCTGTATAGGTATTTTTAAATTAAGCTGTAAGGCAGAATGCCTTCGATTCTTGAAATTCAACTGAAGTGTTACCGACTCAATTGCCATTTGTAAACTAGGGCTGTGCGCAGGATACTTGTTAACCAGCAGGAAGCGTGGCGGGTTTGGAAGGGAAGATGGTAGCAAATGTACAATATTGCTGTGTTCATTTAGGTAGCTTTGGAAGAATAATTTGTCTTATTTGTTTTGCCCTTTTAATCTTTTTTTTTATTTAAACAGCGAAGTTCTAGACATGGAAGAAACTCACCACCTAAAGAGATTTGGTTATCGGTGTACGCAATCACTTTATCACAGCATGGTTTTGATTAGACTGGTTGGGGACAATAAAGGATCGAAATGACACTGGTGTGTACTGATGTTGCAGCTTTTGAAATTTCAGTGTAAAAAAAAAAAAAAAATCTGTAGCTCTATAATTTACAAACACATAATCCTCTGTTTTACAGATTCTTTTTAAACTAATAAAACACAGTACCGCACAGCCCTATTTGTAAAAGAAAAACAAGTTTGTGCCTCTGATTTCCAAGGTGCTGTGATGTTATGCCTTTGTGGGGCGAGGAGGGCAGGTGAGACTTGCGTGGGGCAATTGCTTAAAAAAAAAAAATCTCTGGGCTAACTATGCAAAAACCCGCTGTCAGTTTTCTGTTTCACATTATATTGTAAAAATCCAGCTGGCTTGCTTTCTTTCTTGTTAAAGATCTATTGGGAACTTCTTAACAGAGGAGTAAGCAATGGAAATGTTTATTTCTTTTTTCTTTTTTTTTTTCCTAATAATGGAGCTGTTTACACTTTAATGCAATGAACAATCCAGCGATACTTGAGAAACACTACAGATACCATATGAGTGTTTTCAGGAGAGAGAAGTGTTGTCAATCAGGTATTGAATGGTTTCTTTACTGTCACAAATAAAAAAAATTTAACAACATAGTTACTTGTGCATGTAATACTTATCTGGGAAAAAAAGAATTTCTGCTCTTCTCCTTCAGTAACAGTCACTGCCCTAATTTGTCAGGGACTTTATTCCTGCTTATGCACATCTGTGTTAGATGGTAAAGTCACCCATCTCTGTTCCCCTCTCCTCACCATCTAACACAGACGTGCATAAGCAGGAAAAGTCACCCATCTCTGTTCCCCTCTCCTCCCCCTGTGCTCTTTTTAAGGGACGTACAGGACTCCTCACTGACTGCCCTGGCACCTGCTTGTGCAAGCAGAGCTGATGAACTACTGATGAACTCTGCTAAATAAATTGGTGGTGACTCTGGCAGATGTTCCAGCTATTTAGATCTCTGGGATGAGATCATACAATAATTTGTTCGAGTCTCAAAGCTGTGTGACTTCTTTTGGAGGGCTTACTTGAGCTACTTGAATAGCTGTTCTCAGCATCGCTGCCGTATCCAAGTGAATATCTGAATAAAACACTTTATTTGGTTGAAAGGTCTATTTTGGGACCTTTTTATCTGACACACTAAGACTTAGGCAGAGCCTTCCTTTCTAGGAAAAGGCACATGTCATTAATGCTTTATGAGCAGAAAACCTCAGGCCTGTTAGAATAAGCAGCTGTCTCAAGATAGCACATTAGTTGTAATTAAAAATATTTATTCTAGTTATTCCTATGATCGGTTGGAATGACCTAGACTGTGTTTACTTTACACTGGTGGGTTGGGGTTTTTGATTGTTTTTCTTTAGTTTTGGGGTTTGGGTTTTTTTTTTTTTCAGATTTACCAGTCTCCTTAGCTGCTACTTAGGATAAAGATGCCTTTCTTCCACTCAGTAAAACAAGTTATTTCAAAATTCATAAAACAGCTCAGTTATAGCGGTGAGAAAGATCCTGTTGTTCTG